GAGACGTTTGCAAGCAATACCTGATGACTTTCACTACTTCTGTGTTAAATCAGTAATGATCTGAGGGAGGGAGGGTCCATAAATGAAACTGTCATTAGGGTTATCACGATACTTCAGAAAACACAAACCATGTAACAAACATTTCTTACACTGCAGTCACTGAATAATTAGAATTAGCAGTCAGAAGAATTTTGTTGTTGAAAACGGTTATACATTATGTTCATCCAACTGAAGATTAGTGTATTAAAAAAAAGGTAAGAAAATGATTTTATGTTCCAGTTCAGCTGCACTTGATTCAAGTGTTGCTCACAGAGGTTCGTGTTGTTATAAATTAAACATGCTGCCGCCCCAGCAGCCAATAGTACCAGGAGAAAATGTTCACAAAATAAATACATCGGTCTCTTTCAAACAAAACCGTTATCTCACACCAATCCGGGAGGTCATCCACTCTAGACCTTTACCCAGCCTGAAACAAACAAACAAAAAAGCATTTTCTAAATCAGATGCTTTGCACTTAAAAACTGAAAGCTGGTTTAAGATTTTTCAATGTTACCCATAAGCTAGTCCTACAGTCATTCCTTCTACACCTCTGTGATACCATTAAACGGAAAACTTTTATTAGTTCAATAACGTGGGAAAATGCTTCGATTTCACTTTGAAAATATAGATTTCAAAGTTTTGCCATTAAAGTTGCAAATAGCCCTTCGCCCTGCCTTCTGTGTGTGCATAATTAAAAACAAGACAACTATAAACAACAAGGGCTTTACTTTGCCCTCCTCAATTCTGCAGGACAGAAGGTTTACGACGTAATCAAAAGCACAGGTCTAAAGTCTCAACACAGCAAGGGCAGTGGGGTTGATTTGATGACACGTATGCTCACAGAAATACTGTGCGGTCCACAAAGAACACAGTGGGATCCACTTGGCCTGCTAGAGCCATTCAAAGAGACATTCTACTTTTCTTCTAGTTAGTACATGATAATAGCAAGAAAATTTAAACCAAACATTTTTTATGCCCAATTTTGGTAATAAAATACTACATTCACATTAAAAGTCAGGAAAACATTTGCTTACTAAAATTATTTTAACCCCATAAGTCTGAGCCATCTTTAATTAAGAGCCAAAAAAGAAAGAATGGAACAAGATCAAGAAATATGGCAGTGTAGTCTACAAATATTGGTGAAGAAAATTTGAAAAAGCCTTATCTTCCCTTAGAATGATAAGCACTTACCCTTCGCCAGTTAATGCACAGCAGGATTGAATGTGCCAGGGATGGTCCTTAATAGAACTAAGGGTGAGGTATGTAGAGATTTCAGCTGCGCTCATACACCCTTTCATATCCTGTTTATTTGCAAAGATAAGGACGGCAGCCTTCCGTAAATCCTGCAATCAACATGAATGTCACCATGCCAGTGAACCCACTGAAGTAGGGTGAAATGCATACACACTGCTGGACAGTTATAACAAAATGCTTCTCCTTTCAAGTGATTACGCCGCAGTATTTGATTTCAAAAGCTGATTGAAATAAAAATGTGGATAATCATGACTTAATGATTCAGTCTAATAAAGGCAGATGAATGTGAGCCAGATAAATTTTCTATTGCTGTCAAAAGGGCCAAACTAAAAACAAATTAAATTACAATGATAAATAGCGACTTTAAATTATATGAGCAATATTCTAACCCTAAATGTCTGTACAGTTTGAAGTTCAGTATGGGGGTACACATAGGCTGTACTTACTACTTATTGCTCTTTATATAAATTAAAGGTGCTGATTAATGTTGGTTGCAGTATTGCTTATGATATCAAAACATTAGAAAGAACTCAAATGTTCATTAGTAAAACAAATAGCTCAAGTGTTCACATGCATCAACAGTGGAATATTATATAATTGCTAAAAGGAATCATTATTTATGTAAATCTCAATGTTGTGCTCACAGAAAAAAGCTTAAGTTACAGGAAAGTATACACATGACACCTTTACATAAAGTTTTAAGAATAGAGAAGAGAATTGCCTGTATAATTTATGAAGAATTAAAAATATACTCCAAGTATTAAAATACGCAAATATGATTTTAAAGACTGTTTTTAGGACAGGGAATATCTCAGACAACACAGAGAAGGAAATCAGGTTGCAAAGTCTTAAAAGATGACTGACATTTTAGGGTGAATAATAAATGCGTAAATGTTTTATTGTCTGAATTTTTCACAGATCTGAAATATTTCAGAATTAAGAGATTTCAAATTATTCATTAAAGAATTTTCAGTTATGTCTTGAGGGAAAACATTCAATTCTTCTTTCATGTCTCAACTGACTCTATCAGGCTTTCTTAAAAAGGCATGCATAAGTAGTTTTAACTAGGAAAAACTTTTCATCTAACAGTCATCTACAAATTCTTAGTTTAATTTTGGAAAACCAGCGAACATCTTTACAAGACAAATTAATTTAACACATAAAAGTTTGTTAATGATGCAAAAACCAACATCCTACCGTTTTAATCTTTGTAAAAGCATAAAAACAGTGCCTAGACACTGTACTCAATCGTTTTAAAGATCGCTTTCAGAGTTTACCTCATGAGCCAGCATTCTGTACAATTCTTCTTTCGTAATAGCTAGTCGTTCCCTGTCAATGCTGTCAACAACAAGAATGATGAACTAGAAGACAATTGAAAAGAGAAAACATTAAATGGGATGTTGAACGGATTTCTGCAAAAACCATTCTCAAGTTAGTTCTTTCTTCACATGGCATCATCACTAGGAAACATCTACTGCCTTTCCATCATTACCCTAAACCAAACCGTGTGTATTGGAGTTGATTCAGACGTACAGAAAGCCTGTGTGTGTCAGAGTCGAACCGTGCTCCGCAGAGTTTACAATGGCAATGACCTTTCAGACGCAGATCGCCAGGACCTTCCTTCTGAGGCCCTTTGGTTAATAGTCTAATGCTTAACCTAAGCACTTCTCTCCACTCGATGGCCACTGGTTCTTTCTTCATTAGGTGCTTATATAAAATGCTGGATCACAACTAGCAAGCAAAATCCAAATGTTAATAATAAGAAAGTGATAACTCATAACTTCAGCAAATTAAGACTATGTCCAAGTTTATTTAAAACAAACATCTGAATACATAGGGAAACAGATTTCTCCTAAGTTGTCTCCCCCAATATATGCCAAACCCAAGATGCTGCTTGCTACACATGGTAAATGACTGTAAACTAGGAGGTCGCTGAAAGTAGGTCAGAGGTTATTCTCCTTAAAGGTATCTAGAGCAACCCAACTATATAATCTGACTCACCCTAAGTAGGACCCACTCCCGTCTGATAATGTTCCCTTGAAGGAGTGCCCAAAGGCAAGCCCGCCCAGGACCACTCAAGGAGGACTAAGCTTAGGCTATTATATTGAGTCTAGCTAGGGCCCACCCATCTTGCCACATATGTACCCCTATTCCCTCCCTTTACTACTACATGTACACCCCTAGGTCATCCCCCCACTATTGCTTGTATTGCCTATGTTACAACCCCTTCCCATGACATAGATTGTTATCTGTAATCCGAGGGCTTGCATGCCCCCAAACATATACAAGCTTTGGTTAGAAATAAAACCTCACGAGAGCTTGCTCCTGCTCTCTCGTCTCCCACCTCCACATGGACCACCAAGAGGAGCTGAGGTGAGCATGCTACCAGGAAATGTGTCTGACCTCTTTATTTTATTCTCTCTTTCCCATCTCTCCCATTTCTCTATGACTTTACTATAATCTTTATATATCTTAACCATACAATTGTGCCTACCGAACCCATGATTAGTTGTGGGGGGCTGGCTACCCCACATAATACTAAGACTGGTTTTCAAATGTAAGTTATGAGTTAAAATTATTCCATAACAATCATTTAAAACAATCTGCTGATATATGAGGGGTACCCCCCTACCAGAAAATTCCCCAAATGGAATTATTTCCTGCAAAGCTATGTATTTATTTATTTTTTTTACAAAACAATTTGATCACCCTCAAAGCACTCTTTATTCCAATTAATACATTTGTAAAATCTGCGATTCCATTCTTGGACACATTTTGCAAGCTCATCTGTTTGGATGGCTGATAGAACCTGCCTTGTTTTTTTCTTTACCTCTTCTATGCTATCAAATCACAGTGCTCTCATGTCCCTCTTCATTCAGGGAAACAAAAAGTTGCTCGGAACAAGGTCAGATGAGTAAGGTACATAGGGCGAAAGAGGCATCCTGCTTTTTGCCAAAACCTAGCGCACTGAGATGGCTGCATGAGCAGGTACATTGTCATGGTGGCTAAACCAGTTCCCCGTCTGCCACAAATCAGGCCTTTTTTGTCACACTGTTAAGCAATCTTTGCAGAACCTCTAAATAGAAAGTTAGATTAACAGTCTGACCTGGTGGAACAACTCCAAATGCACTACAACATTTTCGTCCTTTAGGCAAATATTGAGGGACATCAAGAATGAAGTTTGTCCACAGGGAATCCAGGGTGGATGATCCTTTCGGGACCAGTGGTGTCAGTGGCAATACTGGGAGGGTAGAGGGAGGGTGGGTTGGAAAGAGGGAACTGATTACAAGGATCTACATATAACCTCCTCCCTGGGGGATGGACAACAGAAAAGTGGGTGAAGGGAGACGTCAGACAGTGCAAGATATGACAAAATAGTAATTCATAAATTATCAAGGGTTTATGAGGGAGGGGGGAGCGGAGAGGGAGGGGGAAAATGAGGTGCTGATGCCAGGGGCTTAGGTGGAGAGCAAATGTTTTGAGATTGATGAGGGCAATGAAATGTACAAATGTGCTTTACACAATTGATGTATGTATGGATTGTGATAAAAGTTGTATGGTCCCCTAATAAAATGATTTAAAAAAAAGAATGAGGTTTGTCATCAATTGACATTTCATCTTCTTTCAAACGAGAAAACCACTTGTACAATTAAGTTTTTCCCATAGTCCTGTCTTTGTAAGTAGTGTTCAACATCACAAAAGTTTCTGTGATATTTTCCCGAGCAGGAAACAAAATTTCACAGACACACTCTCTTCTCTTAGATCAGCCATCACAAAAAAAACAGAGTTTGAGCGAAACTTGTTTTATGAGAAAAATTGTGACCAGAGAGAACTTTCCAGGCAATGCCACTGGGTGCACTAACTCAGAGTGAGATGCCTAATGCTTGCCTAGCTCTGCTCTGCCCAGCGCAATTCCAGTTGTTTTTTTTAGTACACTCTCGTATAAAAAAAATCTTCTGCCCTTTCAAATATAAACTCATTTGAGAAAAAGATAATTATCTTTAAAAAAAACAAAAAACCCACTCGGCACTGGGGATGGGTGGCTGAGGCTGAGAGGACAAGGTCAAGGTCAGGAGTGGAACCAGAGGAAGCAGAGAGCCACTAACTGCCAGAGGTTCTCCCAGAAGCACGTTCTCTGCCTTACCTGTCTGTATCTCACCATGGTCCAGTGCTGCAAGAGTCTTAAGTTTGGGGCCCTTGCAACCATTAAGGGAAAATGATAAACAAAATTAGTGCTGATTTCTCTTAAAAAGCGGGTGGGGGAATGTGGAGCTGCTGATACCAAGGACTCAAGTAGAAAGCAAATGTTTTGAGAACAATGAGGGCACAAATGTGCTTTACACATGGATGTATGTAAGGATTGTGGTAAGAGTTGTAGGAGCCCCCAATAAAATGATTTTTAAAAAGAAATCTTAAGGGACTATTGACATTTATGTGTTTGATAGTGCCTGAATGGACATTAAGTGACACACACTGGAACATATAATTCCATTTAGCACATTTCTACTTCAGTTTTTATTGTTTATATTGATATGTAAAATAGGATCTTACTATGCCAGCAGCCCAAGCAACAGCAGTGGCAAAAAGGACAAGCAGGCCCTCATACGGTTTTAATGTGTCTGCACAAAATTCAGATCAACGCGCTCTTTCACCGAACATGCCATGGATGGTAAGCAATGCATACCTGCACTTATGTGTTAAATATGCTAAGGAAATGGAAGGTGACATTAAAGAAGGGCAAGCATAATAAAAACTGGAGAAATCTGCTGAGAAAAGTATGTAGGAAAAAGTGTTAAATAATTTTTTAATCAAAAATAAAAATAGTTTGTGTAATTAGAAAAGAAAATAAGAGAAATGGCCTCCAAATTGAACAACTTATGCAGAAGAAAAGGGTTGAGAAATGAGATTAAGTAGTGCTAATGGTTATAATAAAGAAGTGATGCAGAATAAATGGAGCAAACAAATGAAATCAGATTATACACATGACTAAGATTAAGGAGAGACCACTAGAATAATTTGCATAAAAACAGAGTAAGGTCTAGCAAAAAAACCAGGGCAAGTGAGAAGGAATGAATATAAGAAACAAGGCACAAAAACTAATTAAATAAATAAAGATAAAGAATAAACAAGGCAGAGGACGAATGGACAGACTATGGGGAGGTGGATATGGATTAATGAGAAGGTGCCAGGAATCAGTCAAGAACTGCAACCACTAATATGACAATGGAGACACACTGCTCTTGGATCCCTCCTCAATAGAAAGCTTCTGAGCCACAAAATGACAAGGGTGACCTAAGTGCTAAATGAAACACCACAGAGACAAAGCCCGTCTCGGGCAATTCAAAGATTGCAGTCTGCTGGGCTGCAGTCCGGGCCCGGCGTTCTCTGCAGGCACAGGTCCTCTTGCAGAAATCATGTCTTTAATGGCAAAGAATAAGTATTTCCTTTGGAATGCTTGTTAATCAATCTTCTAGAGTTAAATTATCTTTTAAAAATGCTTCCAGTGTCAGAATACGTGAACCAACTAGCATCAACTCTGAAGTTCAATCACTCTTTTAATGGCAGGAGTCAATTCTAAGCTTAAAAAAAAAAGTGCCAACTATTCAAACAGCCCTATGTCTAAATACTATCCTTCCCTCACTCTCTTAACACACTCTAACGATTTGACTACAGCAATACAGACTACGCTAACCCAGAACCTACTCGTCCTGCAGACTGTGGGGGTGATGCAGCATTAGGCAGTGTTTCCCTCTGCTGCAAAAGGGCTTGCTGGGAGTTACAATCGACTTAAATCAGCTTACAACAGAGCCACAATTATTTGCTTGTTCCCTATTTTCACATTCAAGTAAAATAACAGTGCTACCACAACTGCTTAATATCGAAGATATGCCACCCTGACGTGATGACTCATTTATTGCATTAGAATATACAAACACATTAGACAAGGCTTCAAAATTTTTCTGGAAAAATTCAAGTCTTCCACAAACCTTTTGGAGACACCTCATATTTATATGCTATTACAAAATACATCCCAAAAGAGAACATGGTTTTATTTCTTCTCCATATCTTCAATAAAAATACCACTCTTTGGATTTCATGAGGCTTCATTTTAGAAAAATACCATACGTTTCATAAATAACACCTTTTTGCAAAGAAAAACTTGGCAATTGTGCAGTAGTATTCTCATAGATTAACTCTTCTCAACAGCAATGTTTTTTGTCTTTAAAAAAACAAAACTGCGCCAGCCCCACCACGAGACACGACTTCCCTCAATGACCCGCAGAACTATGGGGGACAACACTGGAGACACAGTGTGGGAATTGTGCCACAGTGAGGGGAAACACTAAGGGCGTGTAACAGAACAGCAAGGGGAACAGAGCAATGAGGTCTCCAGGGAATACCAAAAATAGACTTTGGGGCCAGTGCGTGGCACCCCATCAGACTCAACCAGAAAACACTCCTAAAGGTCAACAAACAGACCTTGAACTATTTACAGGCTTTTCTTTTTTTGTCATTGTTTTTTATTGTTATTGTTTTGTTTTCTTTTGTTGCTTTGTTTTGCTCTGTCTTGTGTTTGTGCATATTATTATTTCTGCATGTCTATCCAGATAAAATAGGTGGGATAAAAAATCTGGAGGTTGGGGTTGGGGGATTAGGGGACATGGGAGAGGGGGAGGCGGGGGAAAGGAAGTGGGTGTTAACAAACCCAGGGACAAGGGAACAGTAAGTGATCTAAAATTGATGGTGAGGTGGGTGTAGAAGGCCTTGTAGAGCTTGATCAAGGGCAATGTAACTGAGAGGAATCACTGAAACCCAAATGAAGACTGAATCTGATAGTGGGACACGAGGAACGAAAACGGAAATAGATGAAATAAATCGGAGAGGGCATTTATAAAGGTCTAAATACAGGCATGCACATATGTATATATGTTTATATATTTTGATCGGGAAATAGATCTATGTACATATATTTATAGGTTTAGTATTAAGGTAGCAGATGGACATTGGGCCTCTACTCAATACACCCTCAACGCAAGAACACTTTGTTCTATTAACCTGGCATTCCATGATGCTCACCTTCCCAACATGATCGCTGAAGACAAAGTGGGTGCATAGCAAATGTGGTGAAGGAAGCAGATGGGGCCCAGCTATTAAAAGAGACAGCGTCTGGGGTCTTAAAAGGCTTGAAGATAAACAAGCGGCAATCTAGCTGAGAAGCAACAAAGCCCACATGGAAGAAGCACAGCAGCCTGTGTGATCATGAGGTGTCCAGAGGATCAGGTATCAAAGACCCAGAACAAAAAATCTATCATTGTGAATGAGGGGGAGTGCAGAGTGGAGACCTAAAGCCTATCTGTAGGCAATTGGACATCCCTTTATAGAAGGGTCATGGGGAGGAGACGAGGCAGTCAGGGTGCAGTATAGCACCGATGATCTTGAATGCTTCCTCCCCCTCACTATCATGACCCTAATTCTACCTTACAAATCCGGCTAGACCATACTGTACACGGGTACTGATAAGAGCTGGAAGCACAAGGAATCCAGGACAAATTCACCCCTCAGGATCAATACAGAGAGTAGCCATACCAGGAGTGGAAGGGGAAGGTTTGGAGATAAGGGGGGAACCAATCACAATGGTCTACCGATAACCCCCTCCCAGAGGGGTGGCCAACAGAAAAGTGGGTGCAGAGAGACACTGGTCAGTATAAGACATGAAAAAATAATCTATAAATCATCAAGGGTTCATGAGGGAAGGAGAGGGAAAAAATGAGAAGCTAATACCAAGGGCTCAAATAGAAAGCAAATGTTTAGAGAATGATGATGGCAACAAATGTACAAATGTGCTTGACACAACGGATGTATGTATGGATTATGATAAGAGTTGTATGAGTCCTCAGTAAAATGACTTAAAAAAAAACTGCTTCTAAGAATTAGGACAGACAACAGGAGAGGCCAGATTTGTGTGAAAGCTTGCTTCTTACCCAATAAAATGAAGTGACAGAGAATTCTGGGAAGTGTCCTGTAAACGTAATGATTTTTAATTAAAATACACCATCTCATCAAAACTTAGAAGGTTCAATTCATGTTAATTATACATTTTAATGAAAATTACGCTTAAATTATTCTGTCTTCCCCTAACCTGGGCTTCCTATAAGATATGAGATCTAGGGTTAAGTTAGAAACTTTCTGTGACGTGTCAGATTTCTCACATACTGGAGATGTTTTAGAATGTGAGGACAATGAACTGGGGCAGTCGACCCAACAGTGAGCACCTCACCAATATTAGTAACCATTATTCTTTCTACCCCTTTTGTCTCTTTAATTTGAACATCATAAATTCCTTACTAAAAAACATCTTAGTAAAAGATAAATGTTTGAAACAAAACAGAACAAAAAAAATGCCAGTGTGTTTTATGTAGCACGTATACATTTTCTGGGTTTAATCTTTGGTTCTTTGTAAGAAAAGCAGAAGCAACCACAATATACCTCTGTGTTTAAGTAATACGTGTTCCACGATGACCGCAGTGACTCCTGACCACCAATATCCCACATAAGGAAATGAGTGTTCTTCACAACGATTTCTTCCACATTGCTTCCTATGGTTGGAGACGTGTGAACCACTTCATTCATTAAGCTGTTAAAAGACAGAAACCATGGAAACCCGAAGCGTTTTATCTTTTGATTCTTAGAACGGATCAACCTTCCACTTTATTTGTGCCAATAGTCATCATTAGCATCAAAAAAAAAACTTGGAGAAAATTTATGCAAGTAAATGTCTAGGCAAAACATAACTTCTAAAGAAACTCTGTTGCTGCTTTTAATAGAATGATTTGTAAACTTAAATGATCTGGGGAGCACTCTACTGATTATGAGTTTACATCCTGTGACCAAATATTCCAATACCAACATGCTCTGGTATCAGAGCTGAAGCAGTACTCCATCCTGAAAGAGCAGTTTTTAAGTGACAGAAACCTCAAAATTTGTGAAGTTGAAACCAAAGCACATAGGCTATTACAATTATGGTAACTTCTAATGTTCAAAAAATTAAAGTTCAGCCATGAAAATTAGCTCGGGCCTATTAACTTGCACTAGTCTTTGAAAGGGGAGCTCTAGTGATGCAATAGTGGAGTGCTCAGCAGGCAGTCAAAAGCCTGTGCTGGAACCCAAGATGAGGCCACACAGTGGCTCAATGGAAACAGGACACGGCCTGGCTACATGCGCCCTTAATGTCAGAGCCTAGGAAAGCCTACGAGACAGCTCCACTCTCCTAGAAGCCAACACTGACTTGAAAGAGCACAACAACACACTCTTTGATAAGGCCATGGGCAAATACAAAATTTAATTAAAATTAAATATATGCATCTATTTAGAATACCAATGCACATACAGTACCATGTTATTATGATCACTGGTAAAACTACATTAATTCATCCAATAGTTACCTGCCAGTCATGTCAGTACTACACATTTTTACAAAGATAATGTGCACATGTTCTAGCCAACCATGTAACTTGATTCTGCCAGGTGTGTCACGTCATTCACTGTGTGTGTGGACGCATTTGCACAAAAAAATACAGATGCTTAGGAGACACCTGCACATCTCTCGAGTTTTATATAGCACATATTAATGTAATATATAAACATATTTTAAAACTACAGGGGGAAAAATGAGGAGCTGATACAAAGGGCTCAAGCAGAAAGCAAATGTTTTGAGAATTATGAGGGCAACAAATAAACAAATGTGCTTGACACATACTGGATGGATTGTGATGAGATGTACGAGCCCCCAATAAAATGATTGAAAAAAACCCAAAACATCTATGTACAAAATGAGATCTACAATGATGACCAAACCAAAATTTGTTGCCACTGATTCCAATTAACAGTGACCCTATAGAACACAGCAGAACTGTCCCACAGAGTTTACAACGCTGTACTTTTTCTTAGCCATATCTTTCTCCCAGAGGGTGGCTGGTGGATTTGAACCATTGACCTGGTTAGCGGCTAAGCAGTTAACTACTGTGACATCTTAAATGCTTCTTAAATGCTTATATTTGATATTTGAAAGTTACATGACATCACAGTATTTATTGTCCAAAAAGTATAGGTTTTAATGAAAAACAAGCATTTATTCAATTCTCAAATGACAAATCCTAAGTTTGTAGCTTTTGAAAAATGTGGTAAGTATTACATAAGTGAAGTATTGTGGAAAGCTGTCAGGTTAATGAACTTCTAATGCAAGGTAGATGGGAAGAGAGACGAGTCATACAATTGCATGGTGTTTTGTAATTATCTGTTGAAATGCTTGGGACATGAGGCCTACTTCCACTGCGTGACAAGGATCACTTCACTGGCTCTGAAAGGCTAACAGGAGTCCTGTACGTTGGCAAATGGTCTACTGGCAGCAGAAATTTCCTTAACATATTAATATTTCTGTTACGCTCAAGCCTTTTCCAATCGCATGCTACTCAAGCAGTCTATTAAAGAGCAACTTGCATTTAGGATATGACAGGTCAGGTCATGTTAAACAATGCCCCAGTTACTAGGCAGAAGAGTAGCAAACGGCTTCCTACAGATACAAACCAATTTAACATGGATCACAGTATGGGAAGAACAAAGCGATTCATCTTATCATGTCACTCAGCATTAAAGGCATGCTTTATTACTTTTATTTACTATTAATTCTGTCTCAGACAAAAGCAATGCGTATCTGTAAAGGCTTTAGTGAACAGAGCTGCTTATTTTATTTACTTTTTCACAAATTTATCTTTGGTAAAATTTACACGAAATGGTTCAGGTTTTCCATTATACTATAATGGCACTTCATTCTTATTACTGATACAAACTTAGTTTCAATGCAATTAAAATAATGCAAACTGTTAAACAAATGCCCATACTTACAATTGATAAAGAATGGTGGTTTTCCCTGCGTTATCCAGTCCCACTATAATTACTTTGTGTTCTACAAGAAAGAAAGAAAGCCATACACATTTAACACTGTGGCATACTGTAATTACATGCTTTCAACAATGATTACTAGCTAGCTCTCTAAAGAGAATAATTTCCAGAATATTTATTATTAGACTGTTAAATACAGCCAGAAAGCCGTATTTATGATGTTATGGTTACTAAATGAAGCCATCTAATATGATGTTCTCGAAGGAAACAATGTGGGAGACATGGGAGCACGGATACAGATTTAGTAACACATTTATACATATTTAACTGGGGGAGAGGGGGGCGGCAACCCACATACCAAACTTAACCAGAAGGCATCAGGATTTAAAATGAAGTTTTTACTGACTTGAAGGAACATAGGCAAGGTGGAGACCCAAAGCCCATCTGCTAAGACAACTGGGGAGTCCCTCATAGAAGGGCCACAGGAAAGTGATGATATGTCCAGGGTGCACTATAGCACTGAGACTCACAACTATCCGTTAGTTCTTTAAAATTTCCCCCTCCTACTGTTATGGTCCTAGTTTTATCTCACCTATCTTGCTAGGCCTGTGGACGTACATGGGTATAACCAAGATCTCTCAATGCACGGAATTCAAGATAGATTATCCCCTCAGAAACAGTAAGTGGAATACTGACTTCCTGAGGCTACGGGGAGAGAGGGGAGAAGGAGCATAGAGCTATGATGATTCTATAATTCCACTAGAAAGGAACAAATATCAGGATTTAAGGAGAATAGATCCATAGGATAGTGTAAGTTAAGGCAAAATATATATATATTAATAATATTAATCTATAATAAGCTGAGGGTTCAGGAGTGTGGGAGGGTGGGGGAGGGAGGGGACAAAGGGGAGCTGATAGCAAGGAGTTCAAGAATTAAAGAAAATGATGAGGGCAGCAATGGTACAATTGTACTTGGTCTAATGGAACTATGGATTGTAATATCTGTAAGAGCTCCTAATAATATGTTTTTAAAAAAATAAAATGTAAAAGTAAAAAAACAAAAACTGAGGTTTGACAAGTCTGCTTTAAACACCTGCTTGCCTTCTCTACTACTCTCAGCTTATCAAGTTGTTTTTGCAACTGCAAGTTTTCCCACTTATGTGTACCAAGATACAGTAAGTTCCTCCTTGCCCTGAGGTCTGAGGTAAGATTCACCTCATCTAACATTCTTCCTGGGTAAGAACGAGCAGCACACGCTCTCGGCCATCTTTCTCCTCACATTACTTTATAGATACACAGCATTCTGAAAACATTCTTAGAAGCAGATACCGCTGCTTTCTACTGGTGGCAGACAAACCCCTCTGTCCACTGCTCTTCTGGTGCCATGCGGTAGAAAGGCACTTCTTCCAAAAGGAGTTGTAAAAGACCTGATTAGTATGCTGAGGGGTCCTGGTGGCATAATGGGCTGTGCTGTGAGCTGACCACAGTCAGCAAGCAGTTTGAAACCACCAGCCTCTCCTTGGGAGAAAGATGAGATTTTCTTCTCCTCTGAAGAGTTAGTCTCAGAAACCTAGAGACAGTTCGACTCGGTCCTGCAGGGTCACTCCACTCAGAATCAACACGACGACGGCAGCATGTTTAAGTATTTGTTAGATGGGAGATGTTCTAACGCCTCCTGTGTATAAAGAAAGCTCTCGGATACACTTATTTTTCTATATTTAACTTTTACAGGCTCCCATTCTCCAGGGCAGACTGCTTAAAAAGCTACTGGCAAACCTTAACAAGGGATATTAGGAATCTGCTGTAAAACCCACCATATAATTAACTAATTTGGAGCTAATGTTTGACACACCTCATACTGGAACCCTGTTCTTCTGGCTAACCGATGAATAAATACCATCAACTAAACAGAGATCTGTAACACACCACGTTAGCATTTACCTACTTGTTTTAACAACTCCTTTCCCCACCTACATTTACTAAGACAAAAGTACTTGCACTGACAAACCATCTTTGCGTCTTCTACCGATCTGCCTGTGACTCTACGGGATGTGGTCCTTGGAGAGGGCTATTCTTCACCACAGAGGAAGCTGCTATGTGAAAACTAAACAGGTTTGATGATCGGCACTATAATTCACTGCAACTCTCCTTCTTTGACTAGTCTGGTTAATTCCTCAATTGCAAATAGAGCCAATCTTGATCTGCTTCCTTGTTGTTATTCCTTACCACAGTGGGGGACGGAGCCTGATGTCTCGCTTTCTGAACTTTTGGTCAATAGCTGTTGACTGGAAACGCTAAAGGCCCAGCAATTGGAGGCCAAGGGGTCCCAGCCCGAGATAAAGCCACTAGTCTACAAGTAAACTACCCTTGGGCACAACTCCTCATGAGAAGGGAAGAGAGGGACATTACTAAATGGCTCAATGTTCACTCAAAGGGAACACTCAAGGCCATTTTCAAAGAACCTTGCTCCTTGTTTCACATTTTCCATTATCATCATCATAGGACCGAAGGCTTGTGAGAGTAACACAAATAATATGTCACTTTGAGAAAGTGGTCCCCAATTTAAAGTAGGAGCTACAAATCCTGAAAGTGAACAGAGCATAAATCGAATTACAAGTGCATAAAATTCCAAATGTCTGATTAATTTAGATAATTTTGAGTTATTTCTTCACAATCTCCCTCACTGATGGACATTTTTGCAATTATGACAAAATATACCATTTCAACTCTGCCTTTATCCTTCACTTATGCTGAGGCTCGTATTCTGATATTAAAGTTACCAAGAACAACCCGATCCTGTATAACAAAATATCAGCAGAAAAGGAGAAGCTAAGTGCTTTTAAGGAACATGAGAGAACTCTGGGAAATATGTCTTTAGCATGATCTGTACCATACGACTGAACAAAATTCCAAAGGGCACCTAAAAGACACTACACACAAAATAAAAGTTGCTAGTCCTCTACACTGTACTGTAATTCTCCTTCCTGCCGCCTTCATTGTACTTAGCTGCTTCTGAGTGACATGAACGGCCAGACAGGGTATCTTCTGAGTGTAGACTTGTTTTATTAAATGTTTCTTTAATCCATTAGCTTTCAAATTTCACATATATATCTAGTATAATACATTCTAAGACAAACATTGGTATCTAAGATAAAAAGTGAATGCAATCTAGTTTACATATTCACAAATGTTAGTACTATCCATTCAAAGCACAGTGAAAAAACAGAATGACAGGCTTGTACACTCCATAATATAAACTGAAATTTGAACTAATAATGTTGCTTTAATGTCCATGAAGGTTCAAAAATAAAATCAAGTTTTCATACCAACAGATACCTAACGCACAATTTACTATTACGTTATGGTAGAGTATCACCTAATGTTAAAAGAAGCCCTCAAAGCTTGAAAAGTATTACTAAGGGTTCTTGTCCTATGGTACTGTCTCTTTAAGGAGCTCTGGCGGCATGGTGGTTACATGCTGGGCTGTTATCTGCAAGGTCAGCAGTTTGAGGCAGTACCCACTCTGCGGGAGAAAGATGGGCTTTTTGACCCTGCCTTATAGGTCACTATGAGTTGGCCTCCACTCTATGGCAGGAGCTGTCTTGTTTTTCATATCATTGTCTCTCTTAGTTAGCAAAAATCAACAGGTCACGCCAAAGTCTTCTTTTTGTGGTGAAGCACATACGCACAATAATTGAGGAGATTCTCTGCAGCATTGCTTTGATGTATATAATTTCCGTCATGTACCAGACCTGGCTAACTAAAACAGCTATGGAAAGACACTTGTAATCTGTACTATTTATATCACCCAGCAATAACTTTTGTTTAACTAAGGGATATGCAAATGACACAATCTTGTTTGTTACATGCTGATGAAGATGAACGATTACAGCCTTCAGCATAAGTAAAGAAACAACTGGACCAGTCGACAACATCACGATAAACATAGGAGAGACTGGAGTTGCCAAGGACTGATTTTACGTGGACCCCAAGCAATGCTCCTGGAAGCAGCAGTGAAGACACCTGACAAAGGGCACAGCTGTGCCCAAGACCGTGCTGAAGTGTTCAAGAGTAGCTACGTCACTGAGGACTAAGGGATGCCTGACCCAAGCCAGGGGTTCCTACTGTTTGCTGTGCTGAGGAAGCTAGCCGGGAATAAGGACGACTGGAGAACAACGGATATATTGAAACCATGGTGGTCGTGAAGAATATGGAAATACCAGAAGAACCAACAAGTCTGTCTTGGAAGAAGCACTGTCAGAGCGCTCCTTTGCAGCAAGGAAGGCTAGTCTCCACCTGCCATCCTTGGGACATGGTGTCAGACGAGGTCACTTCTTAAAAGGGACACCAGGACTGCTAAAGCGGAGTCGGTGAAAAAGAGAAAGCCCTCTCCAGTAGTAAGCACGTGAGGGCAAACTGAAGACTTTCTTGCTGAAGCCTTCCATTTCACTGTGTCTATTCTGGGACCTGGGCAACAGGGAGGATCTTTGGTCTCTTCTCAACTTGCCTGGTAACTTCCGTGGGCTCTCCCTTCTTACACTCTTTGATCTCTTGGCTGGTTTTGTATTTAGTCTTATTATCATAAGGTTGTTTAATCCTAAAGTTGTTTTTCTATTACCTAACTGTTGACTGTGCGGCTCACAGCCCACTCATAACCACTACATCATCAGGGCTCCTTTCCTTTGTCATAACAATGCTATATTCAACCATTAAAAAGATAACTTCAACAATGGGCCCAAGACGCAACTTTTGTGGGCATGGCACAGGAGCAGGCCGTGCTGCCTTCTGTTTTATGTAGGGCTGCTTCCAGTGGCAGGTGACTTGGTGGCACCTAACGAGACGACGACATATCTTTTTAGACACAAACATGCAATGTTTCCTTTCAAAAACAACAGACGATCCTGGACCAAGTAAGGGAAGACTATGAAACAAAATTAAAAGTCATAAAAAAAGAATAGGTGTATTGGTCTAAAGGTGATCTTTGAGACTACAGCCCTTAGAATCCCTTCAAGTTTAGAACTGCATTTATTCCCAGAGACCACCTTATAGCCAAGCAATAAGCAG